GCGTATCCCGAATAAACGCCAGCTCCCTGACTATTTCGAGATCATCGAGAACCCCATAGCCTTCAGCACCATTCGCGTATGTCTTGCCTAACAACAAATTGTACAATCACTCAGATTGAGAAGCTAACCTGTGACAGCACAAAATAAGTAAAAAGCAGTACAATAACTTCTCCGAGTTCGTCCGTGATGTTGCCCAGATCTGTCATAATGCTCAGGTGTACAACCGACCTTCGTCTGCCATCTTCAAGGGCGCCACTGTAATCAGGGATCTTCTTAAGCAAGAGCTACAGAAGCTCGTGAACAAGGGTACCATACAGCCTGCGGAAGCCGAGCTGCCGGATCTGGGAGAGCTACCGCCTGCCGAAGAATCCTCCCCCGAGGCTGAGTCCGAAGAAGAGGAAGAGGAGGAGGAGGAGGAGGAAGAGGAGGAAGACGAAGATGACGACGACGACTCTGACGATGATGGGAGAGGGCGTCGCAATAGGAAGCGGGGGAGAGCGTCATTTGGCAGACGCCAGACTGGCGAGGCCAGAGAGGAGGACGAGCACAAGAAACGCGGCCGCCCTCCCAAGGTTCTCACACCCCTCGAGGCTCGTATACACAACGTCATCAAGGGCCTTCGGAAAGTCAAGTCAAACGACGGTGACCTGCTCATCGGTCCCTTTGAGAAGCTGCCCGACAAGACCATGAACCCAGACTACTACCAGGTTATCAAGGACCCCATTGCGCTGGATAACATAAAACGGAAGGCCAAGAGGAAGAAGTACCCGACCGTTGACAGTGTCCTCAAGGACATTGATCTCATGTTCAACAACGCCAAACGTTACAACGAGGAAGGAAGTGATATTTTCGAGGCTGCAGTAGAGCTGCAGAAGCAGGCCCATGGACTGGTAGCGCAGGAGAGGGCCAGACCCGATGATGAGTTCCGAGACGAGGACGGCAAACTACCGTTGGCTGAGATTCAATACAACGGCCAATCGTGGAAAGTTGGTAAGTTGCGTCCAGTAACCCCTGGTAGCATTGCAAGTGGCCCTGATTAACAATGGTTCTAGGTGACTGGGTGCACATTCGCAACGTCAACGACATGGCCAAGCCCATTGTCGCCCAGATTTTCCGCACCTGGCAAGATCGTGCCGGCCAGCGGTGGATCAATGCCTGCTGGTACTACCGTCCCGAACAGACGGTCCACCGATACGAGAGGCACTTCTTCGAGAACGAAGTGGCCAAGACGGGCCAGTATCGTGACCACCAGATCGAAGAGGTTCTCGACCGATGCTTCGTCATGTTTGTGACGCGCTTCAACAAGGGGCGGCCTCGCGGTCTGCCACATGACAAGGAGGTGTATGTGTGTGAGTCTCGCTACAACGAACAGACGTGCCGCTTCAACAAGATCAAGACGTGGGCCAGCTGCGTGCCGGACGAGGTGCGGGAGAGGGACTACGAGATGGATTTGTTTGACCAGCCACGGCGGCTCAAGAAGGTGCCCAGCCCGATCAAGCACCTGCTGCAAGCCGACGCGAAAGAGACGGACGAGCTGCCGAAGCCAACATGGGGAGCTCCAAACGCACCGCCTATCATCGGCGCTGTGCACCGTCGGCCCCGGGAATCGAACGTAAGTCGTGATGTGTTTGCTGTTTCTTTGCTATTTCTGCCCACTGTTCATCCACACTCTGCAGGCCTGGTCTGGCTGGGACTACTTGGCCTTCGGCCATTCTCACTCCCAGCCGCGCCGCCTTACCTGACCCTGGTACCGCCCAAGTGAATCCTGTTGCATGAGCTGTAACCCGTGCCCCGACACCTCTTCTCTCTTTCTCTCTCACACACACAACTTCTGCGTCGCCTTATCCAGTACAACCCGATAAAGAGAGCGGCGCAGAGGCGATGGTTCAGCAGCGGCAGTACCCTGCATCCCGTCTCCAAGCCCTGGCGAAATTCCTGCCCCCGTCACTCGTTTGCTCACCCTCACTCACCCTTCACACTCATCTTTCCGCCTCTTTTTTCTTGATTTTCCCCCCTCGCCCTCCCTCTCCGCAGACGTCGCATGTCCGTCTTGCTGTGGTGGCTTTTTTTTTTTTTTACCAAGACCAGCCGGGTTCTAACAAACATTCCTTGGGATGTAGGAGTCCCCTCCACCTGAACCAACACCATCGCCGCCTCCCATGAGTCAGGAGGCTCCTCGACGCCCATCGGTTCTCCAGGCAATGCGACAAACGCCCAGCGACATGTCGATGAACAACCCGCCAACGCCGTACGGACACGGAATGGGCGCGGCGCCTTCACCGTCGCCGGCGATGTACGGGCAGCAATACACGCCTCAACACGCGTCGGCTTCGCCTGTCGCGGTGCCTCATCAGACACCAGTGCCGCTGCCCCAGATTCCTCCTCACCAGGCGTCTCACTCTCCGCAACAGCCCATCCGTCCCATGTACCAGCAGCAGGGATACGTGCCAAGCCCCTTCCAGCAACAGCAACAGCACCCACAGCATCCACAGCACCATCCCCACCAGTTTCAGCAACAGCAGCAGCAGCAACAGCACCTTCCACCACAGCAGCAGCACCACCAGCCGCCGCCGCCGCACTACCCGCAGGCCCAAGCGCCCCCCGTGGCACAGCACGGACATGGACACCACCAGATGCATCCACAAATGATGACAGCAAACTCTTTGGGCCCAACGACGTTCAATCACCACCAGATGCAGCCTCACCCAGCTGCAGCCCGCACCCCCATGGCGTCTGCACCCAATGCCATGCCGCCAAACAACGCCTACAACCCCCCGCGCCCTCCCGAGGTTTTTGTCCTGCCCGACCACATCAACGACCAGATTCCCGAGGAGGTGCGCAGCCAGTACAACAGGGACGAGAACGGCAGAATCATATTCTTCACCACACCGCCCGCTGCGCGCCCCGAACACGGTCTCGCCCCGGACCACGCAAACACGGGCCACAGCCTCGCCTACCTTGCCAAGAGCAACCCGGAATGGCTGTCGGAGCGTGCGAGCAAGGCAAAGGCCTTCTCCGTTGTCAAGCAGAAGGAGCTGAAGACCAAGATGGTCATTGACGAGATCACCAAGGGCAAGACGCAGGAGGAGCTGCGTGACTGGGCGAGCGACGCATGGGCTTTGTATTGGAAGAGCCATGCCCAGGAGACGATGCGCATGCGCGAGGATGGCGACCTGGATGGACACGACCAGATGGTGAGGGAGCAGCGTGCAATCAAGGTCAAGTCCAGAAGGGAGCGTGAGGAGGAGGCCGACAGGGCCGAAGAGGCCAAGAAGGCCAGCTATCTCGAGGGCATCTACTCGGCCCACACCAGCATGCGTTCCTCCAAGCCACGTGGTGTCTGAACGCATAGTTCACCAAGACGTCGCTCTAATGGATGCTACGTGTTCGCGCTGCAGCAGGCGGTGGACCAAGATGCGTAGAGATTTAGCTTTCTCTGGGTAGACAGACGGGAGGAGTTTCGGTGGGTGATTCAGCTTGTTGTGATACCTTTTGGGGTTTGGAGTTTTACGGAAACCATTATGGCTCAGTGTGTCGACATGGAACCTATGGAGTCCCTATGGTTATTGTACATCATAATGCTAAGAATTGAAGACGCAAAAGAACATTCCTTCCAGTCCCGATAGCGTCAAGGTTTTTTGCCGTGAAAAGCTTGTCAAGTGCCCAAACACACACACACACATACACCTTGATGATGATTATTGATGACGGTCGAGTTCGTCCCCAGTACCCCTGTTTCTGTGATGGAAACAATGTAGACATGCAACATTGCCATTAGGTGGGTAGCTCGGTAGAAACAAAGATAAGATTTAGTGGCGACCAACTGGCCAAGGGAGAATAAGAGCTATCCAGTGCCTGATTCCAGGATCGAGGTCGTGGTGTCGGGTCAGGAACCTCGCCCCACAAATCCAGGTCCTAAGTTCGCTGTCGACAGGACGTCCAGGCACTAAAAGAATCGCTGCAAGGCCTTGCCGGGGGCGCCGCCCGACCACGCACAAAGCGCAGGTGCCAGCCCAAAGAGGGTCTAGTGCAGATCTGATTCGCCCACTCGAGACGCTCCAGCCACTGAGTGCGGTGCAAGGTGACTCTGACAGCGAGATGCGCTGGACCTTTTTCTCCCAAACACCTCAGGCCCAACCAATGTGGGAACCGCTGGGGGGCAACTTCCTGCGGCACACTCACGGGACGCTAAGTGAGCCTCAAGCGCGGCTAAACCACCATTTGCTGACGTTCTCGACTTGCCGTCTTCACCTCCTCCTTTCACCTCTTTTTCGCCTCCTGCCCTCGTCTTCAAAAACCACTCGCAGTCACCCTCAAAAGCATCATCCCTCTTTAGAGGCACCCGACTTCTGTCCCGAATCACCAAATCTATCTGGTTTTTGGCGTTGTTGCGTCTGCGTTTCCTTGCTTTCCGTTGACTCCCCCCACTTTGCGTTCTTTCTATAGTTCAGGCAACGAGGCAAGACCAAGCAAGGTTGGCATCTCTCAGATTCCATCCAAGTTGTCTTGACTTTTTCCCTCGGATCCGTAACGCAGACTACCAATACGAGCAATCTTTTCCTCCCAGGGACCATCTACATACAATTCATCGTCTAGCACACCTCACCCGGGTCTCTCGCTACTCAACCATCTTTCTTAGAAGAAGATTGCGAACTTTACTTTCCCGACACCACAGCGGTTCATGATTAGCAAAGCCTGCATACGAGAACCTGATATAAGGCACGATGGCGTCCACAAGCTCTCGCAGAAAGCCTCGACAGAGACGGCCACCTGCTAATTCTGATATCACGAATTTGAATTCCCAGCACCTCACTAGTATCATGTCAGAGAAACCCTGTCTTGGCGATTTTTCAAAGATATTTTCTCTTTTGAATCATCATCAGAACCCCGCCTCCCCTACGGATAACGATAGTCCGTGTACTCAGCAACCTGTGCCCAGTCAGAGCATCTCTCCAAGCTCACGCCTTCTGTACATCCCAGACTCCGTTGTCAGAGACATCATGGGTGGGAAGGTTCCCAAGCTTAAGAGCAAGGTTGCCGGCCAGAACGCTACTAACGCCACTTCTCCCCTACTCTCCCCCCCACTGTCTGCAACTTCAAGCGACTCAGACTCGGTCTCGTCGCGTGGGGATTTCGATCCGGTCGACATGGAGTTGGATCTGAACGGGGGTGCTGGTTTGTCAGACGTCACCACGCCGCCCGCCACACCTCGTCTCAAGGCCACTTCTGTGTCTGCTGGAGATTTTCTCTTCGAAAGGCACACCGCACACAGGCTTCCCGTCTCTTTCGAGGAGTCTTTTTCGAACCGCCTTGCGCATCAGTTCAAGGCGCACGACCAACGATTCGAACAAATGTGTGCCAAGCTCGACAACAAAGTGTCTCACGACAGAGTGTACATCTTTGTCGACGGCTCCAACATCAGCACCAGCTTCTACCAGGACCTCAAGAAGAAGTTTGGAATGCGCCACAATGAGCCGCTCCCCGGTTGCCTTGACATCGTCAGACTGCATGAGATATTGCAGCGAGAGAGGCATGTCATGGCCTCCCACATCGTTGGCTCTAAGGCTCCCGGCAAGACTGAGGCTCAGTACTTCTTTGATGCCGAGGAGATCGGCTACCAGAAGACCATTCTTCCTCGAATCCCCAAAGATGGCAAGAAGCTGTTCTCGAACACGTCTGATTCTGACGACATATATTCGAGACGCCGTGAGCCCATGCAGGAGCATCAGGTTGATGAAAACCTTCAGCACCTGATGATCAACTGCGCCGTCGACAACATTAACAACAAAGGTGTCATCATTCTCGTCACTGGGGACGGCAACTCGAATGAGTCAGGTACTTCTGACGGCTTCCCCGCTCACGTTGTACGTTGCCTATCGTTGGGTTGGGCTGTTGAAGTGTACTCTTTCAAGTCGGCGTGCTCCGAGGTCTGGACCCAGCCGGAGCTTCTCAGCAACAAAGAGTGGGCTGGCCGCGTCTCGGTCCACTATCTGGACAGCTATTTGCACGACTTATGCAAGCCTTCTTTCGAGAAGCAACTGTCGGAGGTTGCTGCAAAGCATGCCACTCGGGCCTCTTGTCGCCCTACACCCATGACTCTGAAGCGGATGACGCCGATCGCTGAGGATAAGGTCACCTCCCCTCATTTTCACGCCGCTCACCTTGACAACGACTGGAGGACTCCTTCCCCCAAAAAGGCAAAGTTCACCGGTCCAGCGATGTCGGTGACTGCTACCAAGTCGCACACCACGTCCGATTACCAAACGCTTTTGCAGACTGCCAGCACCTTTGGCGCCAGCAAGACCACCTTTGCCTCCACAAACGGTTTTGTGGGCGGTTGCTTCGGCTCGTTCCAACAGCACTCAGCCATCTCTGGTGCCAAGGTGTAATCAAACTACAACCCATGGCAACCGTGTGCTCGCCGAAAGGTGCACCGGGATCGCCCTCTTTCGAATAGGTAGCCCGTCGACGTCGTGCGTCGATGGGATTTGGGACATGCACTTGGTAGCCTGCTAGACATTGGTATGTCATGCAGGAATGGGATATGAATCGGGAACGCAAGCTGCGAAGCGGCCCGACTTCGCTGGCTTTTGCCTTCTCTTTCTCGACTCGAGAATCTACCGGCCGGCGTCACAAGGGAGGGGGCATGAAATAAGGCCCTCGTGCACTTTGACACTGCCGATGATTACTTACTTGGATGACAGGCAAACAGCAATAACCGCTATACCAACAACAAGCACATTTTCATTTCGAGTTCTTGGCTATGCTTCTTATTACGGCATACGCATCCACGGACAATCTCAGCTTTCTGGGTTATGTCTGTGTGCCTTTTTTTTTATTAGCATTTGGGTTTTCTGCGTTATCTGAGAGATTTTGCGAGTCCGTTCCGTCTCTCTTCCTGGTTCTCTTTCTTTTCTGGTTCATGTTTAGCATTGTTTGGCATGGCTCTCTTCTTTATTTACTTGCCGCATCAGCGTTGTTTGTTTCCTTTCATCGGAACAATGTTCATGACAACAAGCCTTGGTTACGAATCGGGACGTTTGATATGGTTAGGGAAAAGAGATACCCCCCTTCCTCATTTGGTAGCCTCATGATTTTGTTCTTAGACGGCAATTAGGCAAAGGGTGTACATACATGGTATCTGGACAGGAGAGATGCAACAGCACGGATTGTGGCGTCCCAGGGAATCATCGAGGGATAGGATAAGCCGAGAAGCATAAAATGTCCGGCAAAGGTCCTCGGAATACCGAAGGCTGAATCGAGGTATTTCATGTTTCAGTGCTCAGCTCACAGAAATACAACAATACAAAACCGACTTGGCGACATCACAGCCTCGGTCACACAAACTTACTGTCCCATCTATCTCATGAGTGAACTTTTACTTTCCACATCGCCATCACAAATGTCCAGCGCCCAGCCACAAGTAGGCACGATTTCATTCAGTTACGTCGTGCACACTCATAGCCACCAAAGCAGGCTACGTAGGTGTTTGATCCTACATCGCCAGCATCGAAGTCGCAGGCTCCTTCGCGCAAAACGAACTTACACCTCGACCGAGACTGTTATTGAGTGGGCAACGAATATTCCTTAGCACACACCTTGCGCGGCACCATTCGCGGAATGATAGGAAACAAGAAAGGTAAACCCAACCTCCACCGCCGCTCCCATAATCGCCGGCCGTTCAAAAAATACTTTGCCGATGTTTATTTTTCTAGTCACGCTTCCTCACTCGGGTAAACCAGATCATGTCGCGCCGCCGTGAGGTGCCTGCAAGCGAAAAGGGGAAAAAAGGAGACGGATGGCAAATGAGCACCTGCGAGACCATCACATGTACATCCCAGAGAAAATCTTGACCTGCGGGCAAGAAGAAGGCAAAGTAGTTTACGCCCAGAATGGCGTCTCAACATTGCTATCGAAAATGCGTAGCAGAATATAGCGTGGCAACAAAATGGACACATCCCACTTCTCGCGGCTTCCCGGCTTACATAAACTAGCGCCCCGTGTGCGTTGAATATTGTGAATCCAACGGCTTAAATTTGCAATAATAACATCCGTAAAGCTGCCAAATATTTCAATCTTTCCTACCGGCGCCGGCTTGAGGCATCTCTTGGGTATACCGAGCCATCACCTAGAAAGAATCGTGAAACGATAGAATTGTGGTATCTCGAAGGGGAGGGAAGGCGATCAAAATCATTAGTTGTTTGGCTGTAAAAGGTTGTAGTTTGTTCGAGCGTTATCCAGGACCGGTGACTCCCTCCTCACGTATCGAAGTCATGCCACCTTTGCTGCCGCCTTCAAGCAGCGGTTTGCTCGGTGGAGGCATGGTATTGTGGCCCTTGGATACACTTGTAGCAGGCGTCGCGTTGCCTGAGGATCCGTCACTAGGCCGAGCCGGTGTGCTGCTACTGGCTTTTACCTCGTTCTGCAGCTGGGAAGAATGATTCGGGGAGTTCGACTTCTTGCTCAGCGCGTCCGCATTCGTGTTTGCGCCTCCTCTAGAGGAATTGCGTGGGGACACGCGTCCAACCTATTCCTCATTAATATCGTGGCCCTCCGGTCGTGAGTCTGCCACTGATGGCTCGGCGCTTCTCACCTGCTTCGCCCAGCGTAGACCACAGCTGTTGCACAAGTCTCGTTGGCCGCTCGGGCCGCGTCGCCACTCAGGGGTATTGCGGGTGTGACAGTTGGCACAGTCGCGAACGACGTTGCCTACACCCTTCCTCCGCTTCCTCTTCTTCTTGTTGGAGAGCAGGCCGCCAAGCTCTTCTGCAAGGATTCTGTTCACCTTTTCCATTTGACGTAGCTCGAACTGCCAGCTGGAGCACTTTGTGGTCCTCAGCTCATCAAAGATATTGTCGTCTGCGGCTAGAGCAGCATCTTGATTGCCTGGAACGGTGTTGCCACCAGACGTAGATATTGGACCGGTCTTTTGCAAGTCTGTTGTCTGCATAGCTTGTGCTTGAGACGACGACTTGACGCTTCCTGGCGGTGTTGCTGCTGGTGCGATAGCCCTTGACGATGCTTTCAACAGCTTGGTTTGAGCCAACAAAAATGTCGGCTTCTGCCCCAATGATGCATCTCCGGGGTACAGGGTTGTATGTGCCTGGAGAACCTGGCCTCTGTTGTTATGAACCTCGTGTTTGCAGGTAACGATCTTACCCCTTCTGGCCTTTTCGATAGCACGGCCGAACTCGGCACGGCTCTCACGACGCATGAGCTCTTGCATGCTTGTGCCCACCAAATCGCTTGGGTGCTTGTCGAGTAGAGATCGAATGTTGGAGGACACAAACAAGAACATGCCGGATACGGAAATTTTTGTCCACAGCTCACTGTCGCCAATGCCGCCATGAGCCTCTAACTCTCGCCGGCTGAGAGCGAACACCGGTCGCTTCCTTCCGACCAGGATAATACACTTCCTGCCCTTGCCGTGCTCAAAGAAGAGCGAGCCATGGCTTTCAAACCATGTGTAGCCGCTCTGTTTTCTTCTGATCCGGAAGACGATATTGACGGTGTTGCCGGCAGTTGCGTCCTTCAGCTCGCGGGTTACGGGGACTATGTCAGAGGGATGACAGATAGTCGACAACGCATTGCCGACCAACTCTGCGCCGTCATACTCCAGAACCTTCTTGCAAGAGGGCGACAAATACATGAAGAGCCCCTTCAAGGAAAGGACATGAACCACATCATCTGTATTCTCCAGTAACATCTTGTCCCAGGATTGCTTATGCCAGTCGGACACTACACCCTTGGGATTGAATTGTTGGAGAAGGGTCGACACGTCGTCGATTCCCAGTGTTTGTCCGTTCTCTGGCTCGACATGATTCGCTGTGGGTGGCGTCCAAATATACTGGCCAATGTCGCTGTGCTTATAGTTGACCTTGACACCGCCATTTTCTTGCCCCTGGGCAATAGCATCGGGGCACTCGACCAGATCGATCTGAAAGCCGACGAAGAATCGTACCTCGTTTGGGTCATCCCACGGAATCGGAATCATGGTAAGGAGGTTGAGGAAAGGCTTGCCACCCTTGCGGTAGTTGATCAAGCTCTGCTGGACCTCTCGACCCTCTGCGATTTTCTTCTTCAGGTTGTAGACGGAAGCATCGTCAACAAATTCTCTCTTCGAACCAGCCTCGACCTTGCCGTTGGGAGACTGGAGGAAGCGGCAATTTTGACCGACAATTTCATGACGGCTGTAACCCGTCAAGTTCTGGAAGTTGTCGGATACGTAAATGATAGGGCAGTCGTTGAGTGAGACATCGCATACAACAAAGGCGCAAGACATGTCGACGGCGCCGAGGTGAATTTCGGGGTTTTTTCTCGTCGCGACATACCATAATGCTCGCAGCATATCGAAGCCGCTCTTGGAGTAGACGTTCTTTTCCTTGCTTTCCGCGCGGGGGGTTTCGGGTCCCGCGGCTGGCGTAGTAGACGCGGTGGGAGGCGCAGCAGCAATTTGGCTTGTTGCCATGGATGAAGATCTGTGATTAGGTGACTGTGAAGAATTATTGGTCGAATTCGACATTTCCCTAGATATAGAAGACGGCGTCTGTGTCGGCCCAGTTCCAGTTGATCCAAAGTTCACAGCATGAGAATTTGACCGAGCATTGGTGTTGCCGTTGTCATCCTTGTCCGGCTGCGTTTGATATTGCTGGTTCATGTTCATAAGGTCGTCGTCGGTAGTAGCCATCTCTAGCGGCGTCTCGAGAGCGCTCTGAGGCGCCGTTACCGGAGTATCAACCCCCGCCATATCCATTGACATGTCATTCGAACTAGTGTTGAGGGGGCTTGGAAAGTTGTTCGCCATCGAAGTCTGGCCGTACATGCCCATGCTGGTAGTCGTCGGCATTGAGGGAACCTGCATAGCAAAGGAGTTGGGCGGCATCATCGAATTCATCATGTCAGGCGAGAAAGTGGTGAAGGCATTTGTTGGAGACATCTGGAGTGATTCGGTACCTGGGTAACCGTCCATCGCGCCAGGTATTGAAATATTGCCGGGTGCGTTGTTGCCCATGCCTACTGTGTTGCCCGACATGCCGCTGTCCAAAGCTGTGTCCATGCCGCTGCTCATCTGCCCAGCGATGTTGGCGAACTCGCCGTTCATGGCCGGGTTCTGGAAGGGGTAGTTGACGAGTTGACTATCACTGGCGCCGAACTCCATCATTGACATGCGTCGATCAGGGCCTCCGTTCTGGCCGGGCTGATTCTGGGATATGAAGGGTTGGTGTGACTGATGTATACTGCGACGGCGTTGAAGTTCGTGGTGATTGGAATTGATGATATCGTCCAGGGAATCGCCTCCGCCCATCATGTTCATGTCATGACCATGGCCATGTCCGTGGCCCTGGCTGATCTGCTGAAATCCATGGCTTCCGGGTTGGCCCTGCTGCTG